TGTCTTTTTTACTGTCCTACTTCTTTATCAAGCAGGATGCCCTTTTCCAGGATTGGTCTATCCTGATAAGCATGTCGTGTCTAGGGAGCTGTATTCCTCCCAAGACAGATTTGTTTATTCTTTTGGCAGTCCATGGCACTGCCAATACTCTTGGCCAGCTCCATAATTCAAACGCAGTGATCTTTCTCAGTCAATGTCCGGCTTTCACATGCCTATGAGGCGATTGAAAATACTCGGACTTCAGTCAGGGGCACCTCAGTCCTTAAAGTAGCACCTTGCTGGTCAACACTTTCCAGAGGTCCTTGTGCAGCAAACATACCCAGTGCAATCTGTCATAGGATCTCTGGACTGCTGCTTCCATGAGCATTGATTGTAGATCCAAGTACAGTGAACCTCTTTACAGCTTTAATCATTTGTGTTTATCACAATGTTATCTCTTGTTCCCATCGTGCAGATTTTAGTTTTTTATGTTTGGTTAGATTTTAAGTTTGAAAAATCACAAATTTAATTTTATGAAGTAGTAATTCCAGGGTTATTAATTAAAGTTGGAATTTGTATGTTCATTTATCTGGGGGAGAAAATTGGAACTAAATGTACAGAATAGAGGAATATTCCTCCTCTTATGTCTATTATATTAATGATGCTAAAGGATGTGTTCTTTTCCTTGTTTTGAATTTTTTAAGCTATTGGCATTTTCTGTCAGACAAAATTTAGGAGATCGACTAATGAAAAAACATAAGACCCCATCTTCTGGTTTTGATTTATGATTTTTTAAAGTACTTAACAAGACTGCTTGATAGACAGTACTAAGACAATGTTGTTGAAACTTTCTATTCTGATATTTCCTTCTTTGTGGATGGAATTCTACTAGTGTAGCCTTCCTGTCCTCTTATTTTCCCAGAAGGAAGCCTTGGCTGTCTACAACCAGCCCAATCCTTTTAGAAGATAATTGCTACAGTAACACTGTGTCTCCATTCTGTGTATCTTAAAATGCACCCCAAAGTATGCTGAGGCCTTGCTATGTTCTAGAATGGCTTTTGATTGTGTGTGTGTGTGTGTGTGTGTGTGTGTGTGTGTGTGTGTGTGTGTTTGTTGGAAACTCAATATTATGAAGCCATATATTATTGTATACAAAAGGCATCTTCTGATTCTCAGGTTTGTCAGTAGTGAAGCTGAAGTTTATTTCAGTGTTCCTGCCTTTCCCTTTATGTTAGTTGCTCAGTAGATTCAGAGCTCAGCTGGGCATATCTGGGGCAGTCATTATGCTGGTTTGGTATACTTGCATATCTTCTTAAATTTGCACAGCAGCTCGATCAGTGAAGTACCTTATCTCTTTTTCAGGTCTCCATGAATTGGTATTGACTCTAGGGCAACTACCAACAATAAGGCATATAGGAACATGAGATTCTAAGAAAACAAATTTAGTTGATCAAGGCCTATAATTCCCACATTCATGCTCATTAGGATAGCCCAGGAGAATATCACAGATTAAATATTTTAAAGAACTTTCAATAATATAAATCAATAAATAATACAAGTGAGCTTTATTGTTTTGTAACTTATCCTTTTGATACCTATAATCACAAACTTTTGAATGTAACCTGTAAATCCTTCAATACCTGGCCATTTGCCTACTAACACCAGTTATCCTGGCTGCCTTAACTTTTTCTAAGCAATTTTGCTTCCGGAGTGTAACCTCCTTGTTTATCTGGGTAACCCTACAGGCCCTTCAGATCTCAGCTCAAATATTTCTTCTTCAAATTAGCTTCCCACTGACACCATATTTAAAGGGGCCCACTTTGTGGATTCTGCTACTCACCTGATCACTAGTAGTGATTATATATCTATTTCAAGTCTGTGATTCCACTAGATCACAGATTCATAACTTCAGTAAGCACTTTTTTTTGTTCACCTCTGTGAGACTGCAAATATTTGGTGCCCCCAAATTATTGCTAGGTAGATAAACAAATTGGCATTGTGCTTCGTGTCATCCATTAGCCTTTAAGAGTGTGCCTTTTTTACATTCATAATGTAAATAACATGCTAAAGACAGCCTCTTCTCCCATAATTATGAAAAATATTTTTAGAACTAATATCTGAGGTCTGATTTTTTGACTTTAAACTATGAAAATAAGTCCAAAAGTATTGCTATAAGCCATAGAAACCTCTTACTAACTAAAGGTATCAAGAAGTTATTCTTTCTGGACATAGCCTCCATCTAGATTGGTACACTTTTGAATGTTTGACCATTTCCATCTCCTAACCCTTTTCTCAAAGAATTCTGCCTCCTTTGATATCTGTGACTCATAATGGCACGTGTCCATCCTTGAGGGGCGCACATCATGTTCCTTTTGCATGTTCTCTGGGTTTGGGGGGATGAAGGGAATCTGAAAGGGCCAAGCTAGTGCTATTGGGGTTAGGGTAAGGTTTCCTTGTGAAATTCTCTTAGGACATCTCTTGCTAGCCTGACAGTGACCAAGTGCATTCTCATGATGGAAAAGAAAAAAAAAAAACATTGACACACTTTCTTGATCTTTTTCTCATGAAGCAATTTTCAATTCTCACAAAATTTACTGTTAAATCACGTGGATGTTCTGTCTTTTGTGAAAATCTATAAAGATTACACATCTGGAAACTCCAAAAACAGTAGGCATCCCTTTCTGAATTGTCCTCTCTGCTTTTAATTTAAGTGGCCCAGCAGACCCCCTCAGATAGCACTGTTTAAGTGGACATTTTTATTTGAAGGCACACTAGAAAAATTGTTACAAATGAATTACTGATAGAAATTTTTCCGCTTGAATCCACTGACAAGCAGAGACATGTTTAAACATATTTTATTTGGAATAAATTCACATAAGTATGGACAAAAACCCTAGTAGCAATATATTTGACTTACCCTTGTATAGGAAACATAGAATAGATCTCCAAGTATAAATAGTAAAGATACTTTTAATTTTGGAGAACGTAAAAAACAAAGCTATACCAATGATGGAACTTGATTTTGTGGTATTGAGCATATGAGATGTAGAAAAGAATTTCTTTCTTGCTACATTTCATTACCAATCAATATTTACTCATCTACTTCTGCTTAGTTTGTATAGCAATGAAGAGCATTATAAAGCCAGGCCTTGTCTGCTAGGCTCTCTTAGGCTGGCCTAGTGAGGCTGGCCTCACTTTACTACCATCGAGTCAGTTCCAATCCACGGTGACCCTATAAGTAAAGGGTACAACTGCCTCTGTGGGTTGCAGACTGTAACTCTATGGGAGTAGATAGCCCCATCTTCCTTCTTTCTGTTTTTCTTTCTTTCTCTCTCTTTTTCAGTTTTTTTTCTCTTTTTCAGTTTTGTTAGCACATAATCCACATCATACAATTCAATTATGTCAAGAAGAATTGTAAATCATTATGGCAATCAATTTCTGAACACCACCCCCTATGATTAAATCACCTTTAAAATGAGATGTGTAATGGCTTTTAGTTCTAGTGTTCCCTCCCCTCCCGCCTTCACGCTTTACTCCTGAAATCTCTTCACCTTCCCCATCACTCCCCTGACTCCCCTTTGCCTCAGTTATTATCTCTATACATCCACTCTTGTGCTTCATAAACTGTTAAAACAGACACAATAGAGAACGAATATGAAATGACATGGGAAGGACAAAACAGTAGCAATATAAAGATACAAATATGACAATGGGCAAGGAAAAGACTTCAATCAATGTCCAAAAACCCAGGATCAAACAAGAGATCCTTGCACCTTGAACAAATTCAACTTGGGTCTAGACTCCAGAGGAAGTTCAACTGGCCATGTATTAAATTTTATCCAGCCTAATCAGGAGTACAATGATCTATGTTTGATAGTAAGGCTGTTCCAGACCTTTGCCTGGGATTAGTTGGGGAATCTGCCAGAGGCTTAATGTGACTAGATACTCTGCAGATGGATTTGGGGCTCCCACTCTCCCCTATGGCCTTCCACAAATTAGGTGTTCACAATTTAAGCTCTGATACCTTTCTCTTCGTCATATTTAAATTTTGTACTTGTTATCTTTGGATCACACGAGCTGATGTGCTTCTTCCATGTGGACTTAGTTGAGTCTTCACTTAGATGACTGCTTGTTTCAATACAAGCCTTTAAGACACCAGACACTATTCTGATTGATAGCTGGACACCTTCTGTTTTCTTCACTACACTTTGCTGTAGCACCCTTAGCTTCAGTAATCATGGGCCATGTTATCAGAACTAACTATTCCTGGATTGGGGCACCCAGAATCCATTTGCTTGCCGTTCATCTTAGGACACATTGAACCCCCATATGGCCCAGGACATTAGCCAGCAGCAAACCAGCCAGCAAATAATGGAACAATCAAACAAAGAGAAAAAGAAACAAAACAAAAACTAAAGGCAGGGAAACAAAACCCTATATAAACAAACAAAAAATACAACATTGTGATCAACCCTCTGGGATACCCCCTTTTATTTTTCCCCTGGAGCAGTTGGTGGTTTCTAACTGCTGACTTTGAGGTTAGCAGCCCTATGTATAACGATTGTGTAGGGAACATTTTACTACCTAACCCATGCTTTTAAATGTTATTCCTGATAAATTACTTGTTTATTCAAGTATGTTACATGAGGTCAGTAGTAAGGTAGGTATGAGTTCATTTTAATTCCTATATTAGGATAAAATAAGGTACAATTTTATGAAAGACCAAATGCTGCTTTTCTCTTCCCACTTGTTGCACTGATTTTGCCTATGTTAATATATCGAAGGGGCAAAACAATACCTTTCCACATACTTAATTTTGCATCACTCAATTGTTAATGCGTTGACCATGGCAGATGTTCAGTTTCCTTGCCAGCTGTTCCCATGGAGTAATGGCCCAATGGTAATAAATATTCAACCAAGGCCGGCATGAAAATAACATCAGTGACATCCTGTCTTACTGTTTTGATATGACAACTAATATTGTTTCTTCTGTTTGTCCCCTCCAACCTCCCTTTATACAGGGCATTGACGTACGAGATGCCCCTCTGAAGGAAATAAAGGTGACTAGTCCTCGGCGATTCGTAGCTTCATTTAATGTTGTGAATACAACAAAACGAGATGCGGGGAAGTACCGCTGCATGATTCGTACCGAAGGAGGTGTTGGAATATCAAACTATGCAGAATTGGTAGTCAAAGGTATTTAATGTACTTTTATACCCCCCAAATAGTCTATTAAACAGATGCATTAGACAATTTATAGTTCACTTTTTGTTTAAAACTCAGACTTATTTTTGTTTATTTCTGAACAGTATTTTGGCAAGAGGCTATGCTGAGGAATTACATTTTAAGTACAGATTTTTCATATAAGCAATATTTTTGAAAAACATATTTTATGTTGGTTTAGTTGTATACCAAAAAATGAATGTACTCGAGACAAGTTCTTATGCCAACTTGATATACAGAGATTACAACCTATACATTTTGTTAAGGAATGAAATTTTTGTACAGAAAGAAAATCACTTAAAATGCAAATATTCACCAGAATGTGTGTTTATAATAGTAGGATGGTTAATAAAATGAAGTAATATCCATATAAAAATGTTCAATCACATCGCACAAACCATATTGATAATACTGTATTAACATTCAAAATGTTCCACTTAGGTTCTCTTATGATATTTTGCATGAGTGAAAAATTGAGTCAGTACATCCAAGAAGGTGGGAAAAAAGGAAATAAACCAAAACCTAAACAGAGAAGAAATAAGTTCCTCTTAGCTGATACACCTGATTTTAGCTTTTTGTTGTCATTGGTGTTGGTAGGTCGAGGACTTCACAGTTTTGAACTACTGTAGCAATATTTTGTCCAGATAGAATAATTTTACATTAGATGTATCACTAAACATTTTGAGACAATACATATAACGATGGCTTCCTTTAATTTCCTCCCTACTATTTGTTAAATATGGGAGGTAAAATGGATCTGTTCTGGATAGGCCATTACTAGGCTCTTATCCAATTTCTCAATATATATATAATACTAAAGATTGCCAAAGATAAATCCTAGAACTCCATATGCCTATGTGACCATGGACTAGTATTTTATGCTTTTTGTGCTCCCGTTTCTTCATATAGAAAATGGATAAAATGATGTTACTTGCCTCATTGGAACTATCACAAAGATCTACTGAAATCAAGTACAGTACTTAAAGCAAGGCACAGAGGAAGCTGCCAATATGTATAAGGGCATGATGGCGTGAGGATGGGGATGATTCTTACTCTGACATATCTGTCAGTAGTGTTCATTAAGGAATTCACACACACACACACACACACACACACACACACACACAAAACTACCTTAGCTCACCCACTGAAATACCTATATTAAATCTGACTGGCAACATTGTCTGTGTTACATAATCTGTATGTGTTCTGGATATATGCACCTGTTGTGAAATCAGAACATTAACAATTTGATTGTTAAGCACACATATTAGAGAAAATGCTTTTCAGTGAAACAACTCCAAGAATTATTCATCTGAGGAAACGACTAGTGTTCAGTTTAAGGAAACACACATTTACTGGAGTAATGTATTTGCCCTATCAGTTTCTTGTATACTTTGAGTCATGGTAAATTTTACCTGACCTGTCCGACTAATGTTTCATTCAGGTTTAATACCTGTAATAAAGCTAAAAGCTGTTCATATTTGCACACATTGTCCCTCCTGTTGGCTGTCTGGGAAGTGAGGAGTTACAGTGAGAAATGTGGGTGCCATATTACCACCAAGCCCAGCAGAGCTGCTTAGGTGTCCCCATGACTGAGTTCTATATTGTTATGGTTATTATTATTATTATCCTCTTGGATTAGTTCTTTGCTATTGTTTTTCTCTTCTGAGTTAAATAATACTTTCTAGTTCTAGTGAATGACCCTATTGTAAAAATACCAAGCTTCATGGGTGATCAGTATAATACAAATCTAGACTTCCCTAAAAATTTCCTCCATGGAGAAGTTCATTTATTGTTATAAGGGAATCTAAGATGTTTTATCTACTTGAACAAACAAATGCAAAGAAAGAGTGGGTTGTCTTTTTTCCACTTTTGAACGTCAAATTTTTCTCTCCCGTGACAGTGGAGTGGTGTGTGGACTCACGGTGAGAACAGTGCTCAGACACTTCTTCCCGTCTCTGAACATTGCCCAAACCAGCGACAAAATGCATACAGATAAGGCTTCAATCTGACAATTGGCTTTTCCTCCATTTACAGTATGGAGTTTTTTCCTATCCATTTCTTTGAAAAATTAGATCACCTACTAGGCACCTTTTGTATTTTCTTGAGACAATGTTTTAAAAGATACAGTGATATTTTTCTCAAAACAAAACAAAAAACCCCCTCAATGCTGTCAAGTTGATTACAGTTCATAGCAACATAGAACTGTCCCTGAAAATTTCTATGCCTTTAAATCTTTTTAGGAGCAGTTGGACAACTAATGTATAACAATTTGATTTTTGTATATATGTTTAAATTTTTTCTTTATTGACTAAATTTTAAATTAATATTATCAAGTCCTTTAAATTTCACTTGTGTTAAGAAATATCTTTAAATATTTTATCATTTTGTATAGATTAATATGTATCCTTTCATCATTTTGGAAAAAAATTCTCTAAAGCTTAAAAAATTGGCTTATTCATATGCTGATTCTTTCTGTAACCCAAAAGTCCTTTGGGATGTTTCTCACTAATTTAATTTATTTTGCATTTTTTTTCCTTAATAGGGAATCACTGAAGAAAATATTCTTAGAACCAAAAAAAGGCATTAAAACCACATCTATTTTAGCATATGAGCAATAATTTAAGGAATTGGTGTAGTCGCTAGATTCTGACCTTGTTCCGGGAGTTGTATTTTGAATGGCAGTGCAACAGCCTTTGCTAGCTTTACAACTTGAAAGTAATTAACTGCTCTTTCTGCCTTAGGATGTACTATAAAAGGTTCATGTCACGTCTTGGTTCAAGGAATCGCCTAATGATATAAATTGATGTTAAATCATTGTGAGTGAAGTCAGAATTGTTTGAAGAAATGAAGAGCCAGCAGAAAGTTTTAGTTTATTGAAGTGTAAGAATAGTATTTTAGTAAATTTACACTAAATTTGCAGTTCTCTAAATAAAAATCTGTATGACTTATTACCTTTGTGTCTAAAAAAAGAACAAGGAAACCCAGTCCACAAAAAGACATGGTATTGCTCTTTTCTTAATTCATTTATCTAAGGAGAGAAAACTGGCATCGTATCAGGTGCTGCTAACTGCCCTGAGATTCTGTTCAGCAGGAAACATAGTAAGATCAATGTGCTGAGTCTCTGAAGGGGATGGCATTGGGGGTAGTTGCAGCATGTGGGCCTTATAACAGAAGACTGCATGCTTTACTTAATTTGCATTTGTATGTGCTAATTGAGGAGTTAGAATCAGAAATACAGCAAAAAGGCACAAACTACCTGAAAACATATTTCTGGGCAGAAAAACTAAGCCAAACTAGATTTTTATTTCCTGAGGTAGTTATGTTAGAACTTATGGTATTTCCTACAATTGTCTTGATTCCCATTATCATGTCTGGTATGCCATCATAGTGATATTGGCATCTGGAAAGCCTTTCTCTGGTGCCTGGGAAGCCATGCTTGCTCCTAATAATATTTATATTGAGCTTAAATTTTCTCTTCTCAGACAATGAAATTCAGGTTTGAAAAAGTGAGAGGAATTTTCATTGGGTTGAAAAAAGTATTGATTTCTTTTTGCTATTGATTTATTAGTTTTATTAAGCTGAGCGTAGCTTGTGTTGTGTGTACTTCAGAGGTTCCTTTCTATTTTCTGCTTAGTGGGGAAAAAAAAGGACAAGCTATCATGAGTGTGGGGGGAAAAAAGGAAAAAAAAAATCCCTCCTGTCAATGTAAAATGAGAAAAACCAGTAGCCCCAAATAAATTGGGGTGTACTTATTTGAATAAGCTCAGTGTAACTGAGAGGAATTAGCGAACCCGAATGAAGGCCAAACATGATAGTGGAAAAAGAGGAAAGTAAAAGGAAATAGAAAAAAGAACTAGGAAGCAAAGAACTTTTGTAGAGATCTAAATCTATCTATTTAGATCTAAATGTACATATATAAATATATTTATATATAATGATAGGGAAATGCATCTATGTACATACATTTTTGTGTTAAGTATTAAGGTAGCAGACAGATATTGGGCCTCTATTCATGTATTCCCTCAAAGCAAGAACACTTTGTTCTAATAACCTGGCATTCCATGATGCTCACCTTCCCGACATGATCGCTGAAGACAAAATGGGTACATAAGCAAATGTGGGGAAGAAAGCTGATAGTGCCCGGCTATCAAAAGATATAGCATCTGGCATCTTAATGGCTTGAAGATAAACAAGTGCCATTCTGGCTGAGAAGCCACAAAGCCCACATGGAAGAAGCACACCAGCCTGAATGATGAGGTGTTGATGGGATCAGGTATCAGGCATCAAAGTCCCAGAACAGAAAAATCATATCAATGTGAATGAGGGGGAGTGTGGAGTGGAGACCCAAAGCCCATCTGTAGACAATTGGAATTCGGGTACAGAAGGGTCACAAGGAAGAGACAAGCCAGTCAGGGTGCAGTATATAGCACCAATGAAACACAACTTTCCTCTAGTTCTTTTTTATTTTTTAATCAATTTATTGGGGCTCATAAAATTCATCACAATACATAGATCAATTGTGTAAAGCACATCTATACATTTATTGCCCTCATCATTCCCAAAATTCGCTTGTCTCTTGGGTTCCCGGAATCAGCTCATTTTCCTTCCCCCACCATCCCCCTCCCTTTCTCTGCCCCCCTCCCCCATGCACCCTTGATAATTTATAAATTATTATTATATCTTATATTACACTGCCCGACGTCTCCCTTCACCTACCCCTCTGTTGCCCATCCCCCAGAGATGAGGTTATATGTAGCTCCCTGTGATCAATTCCACCTTTCTACACCCCACTTCCCTCCTGGTATGCCTCTGTCACCCCTGGTCCTGAGTGGTTCATCTGTCCTAGATTCCCTGCGTTTCCAATTCCCATCTGTACTGCTGTGCATCATCTGGTCTAGCCAGGTCTGCAAGGCAGAATTGGGGTCCTGGTAGTTGGGGGAGGAAGCGTTTAAGAACTAGAGGAAGGTTGTGGGTTTCATTATTGTTATACTGAACCCTAATGCTTCCTCCCCCACATTATCATGATCCCAGTTCTACCGTACAAATCTGGCTAGACCAGACCATGTACACAGGTACAGATAAGAGCTGGAAATACAGGGAATCTAGAACAGATAAACCCCTCAAGACCCATAATGACAGTAGTGATACCAGGAGGGTAGGGGGAGAAAGGGGGAACAGATCACAATGATCTACATATGGGTGAAGGGAGACATCAGTCAGTGTCAGACATGAAAAAATAATAATTTATAAATTATCAAGGGTTCATGAGCGAGGATGGGTAGGGGAGGGAGAGGAAAAATGAGGAACTGATACCAAGTGCTCGAGTAGAAAAATGTTTTGAAAATGGTGATGGTCGAGGACGATATTCCTGCTCAGAGCAGCCAATGCACAGAGAGGACCATGGGGCCAGCCCCACTATGATACAGGATGTCCATCACTGACCATAGTGCTACAGGGGACAACACTGAAGACACAGAACGGGAATTGCACCTAATCTGACTCCACCACATCGAGGTGAAACACTAAGGGCATACAACAGAACAGCAAGTAGAGCAGAGCAACGAAATCCCCAGGTTATACCAAAAATAGACTTTGGAGTCAGGGCATGGCACCCCATCAGACTCAACCAGAAAGCACTCCTAAATGTCAACAAACAGACCTTGAACTATTTATATAGGGTTTTTTTTCTTTTTTTGTCCTTGTTTTGTTGTTGTCATTGTTTTATTTTGCTCTGTCTTGTTTTTTGTGCATATTAGTATCTCGTCAGGTCTATCTAGATAAGATAGGTGGGATAAACAATTTGGAGGAGAAAACAATGGGACTGGTGGTTCTGGGGGAACATGGAAGAGGGGGAGGTGGGGGAAAGGAGGTGGGTGTTAACAAACCCAGGGACAAGGGAACAACAAGTGATCTAAAATGGGTGGCAAGGAGGGTGTAGGAGGCCTGGTAGGGCTTGATCAAGGGCAGTGTAACCAAGAGGAATTACTGAAGCCCGATTGAAGGCTGAACATGATAGTCGGACAAGAGGAAAGTAAAAGGAAATAGAGGAAAGAACTAGGAGGCAAAGGGCAATTATAGAGGTCTAACTAGAGGCATGTACATATGTAAATATATTTATATATGAAGATAGGAAAATAGATCTATGTACATATATTTATAGGTTTAGTATTAAGGTAGCAGATGGACCTTGGGCCTCTACTCAAGTACTCCCTCAATGCAAGAACACTTTGTTCTATTAACCTGGTATGCCATGATGCTCACCTCCCCCACACGATCACTGAAGACAAATTGGGTGCATAAGCAAATGTAGTGAAGAAAACCAATGGTGCCTGGCTGTCAAAAGATATAGCGTCTTATAGGCTTGAAGATAAACTTATAGCTGAGAATCAACGAAGTCCACATGGACAAAGTACACAAGCATGTGTGATCACAAGGTGTTGATAGAATCAGGTATCAGGCATCAAAGAGCAAAAAATCATATTACTGTGAATTAGGGAGACATCCCCTTACAGAGGGGTTGTGGGGAGGATACAAACCAGTCAGGGTGCAGTATAGCACCAATGAAACATACAACTTTCCTCTAGTTCTTTAATGCTTCCTCCCTCCCACTATCACGATACCAATTTTACCTTACAAATGATGATGGCAACAAATGTGCAAATTTGTTTGACACAATGGATGTACGTATGGATTTTGATAAGAGCTGTATGAGCCCCCAATAAAATGACTTTAAAAAAAACATTGTTTATTTAATAACTTTCAAAGTGGTGAAAACTTTATCAGTTTGCCTTTCTTATTAATGTGAATTTAATCATTCTCATAAATTCATTCCTGAAATTCTAATAATTGATGTATACTTTGCTTTTTTCAAACTCAAGACAAAGGTGTCTGAAAATGGCTCTTTCATTTCATGTTGTAGAACCACCTGTTCCTATTGCTCCACCTCAGCTTGCTTCAGTGGGAGCAACCTACCTGTGGATACAACTCAATGCCAACTCCATAAATGGGGATGGGCCTATCGTTGCAAGAGAAGTAGAATATTGCACTGCCAGTGGAAGCTGGAGCGACCGGCAACCAGTGGATTCTACAAGTTACAAGATTGGGCACCTTGATCCAGACACTGAATATGAGATTAGTGTGCTTCTCACCAGGCCTGGTGAAGGTGGCACTGGGTCTCCTGGCCCAGCTCTTAGAACACGAACAAAGTGTGCTGGTGAGTAGATGGAAACCTGAAATCTGTAACTAATGGCCATTTTTTGGGGAGGGGGCGGGCATTGGCATACCACATTAGTGTTTATCAGGTAGTTAACAGACTGTTTTCCTGGTATATCATTACCCTGTCTGTGAACAAAATACTCCCTTAGTTTGTGAACCTTTGCCAGGCAGTCTATGAACAATAAGGTCTGCCAATTGTTAGGTGCTGTGGAGTTGCTTCTGACTCATAGTGACCCTAGTACAACAGAACAAAACTGTCCATTGCTGGGCCATCCTCCAGTTGTTATCTGTGAGTCCCAATACCTTGTGATTTGTAGTCATTCACTTTGCCTCCACTACCTGTCCCCCTGTGTCCCCCAGTGCTCCATCTTTTTTGCTCTTTACTGGAAGTATCACCAGGAGCCCTGGTGGTATAGTGGTTATGTGTTGAGCTGTTAACTTCAATGTCAGCAATTAGAAATCACCAGCTGCTTGGTGGGAGAAAGACAAAGTTTTCTACTTCCTTAAAGAGTTACAGTCTCAGAAACTCACAGGCAGTTCTACCCTGTCCTATAGGGCTGATATGAGTTGGCATCAGTGGCTATGAGGTTGGTTTGGATAAGCATCACCTAGGTCACATAGGATTGTTCCTAATGTTCACAGACACTATCTACTTTAATGATGTCTGCTAATAGATCGGGTCCTCCTAACCTGGTCCCTTCATATTTTCTTCACAATTAAATGCGTTTGTCTCTTGGACTGCTTTGGAATAAAGTTCCATTATAGAACAATCTTTAAAGCTGTGTATTTATTGATGGATATTTAATAGAGGAATTGTTTTCCAATGACGTGGCCCATTTGTAAAATAAACAAGAGTGATTTGTGGAATGCATGGAGAAGTTGTGTTCTTATACAAAGATGTATTAATTTACTATGCTAAATGGGTAAGTTTATGGTTCATGAATAGAGAAATGTAAAGTTTTATAAAAATTAAAACCTAAAGGAAGCTTCCATTAGAAGTTTTAGTGTTGTTTCTTTAGAGCTACTAAATGCTCTAGAACAGTGGGTCCCGACTCTCCTAATGCCGCAACCCTTTAATACAGTTCCTTGTGTGGTGACTCCCCAACCATAAAATTATTTTCATTGCTACTTCATAACTGTAATTTTGCTACTGTTATGAATTGGGTGACCCCTGTGAATGGGTTATTTGACCCCCAAAGGGGTTGTTACCCACAGGTTGAGAGCGACTGCTCTAGAAGGAAGTAAGAAAAAAACATATATTGGGTTACTAAAGTACTATAATCTAAGTAAAGAGTCCCTCTGTTGAGTTGTGAGCTTCAGTCAGTGAGGAGATTCATATATTTTAATGTCAATTATTTCATCAAGTAGTATTATTTAAGAAGACACTTCTCAATATGTTTTATTTTTTAAAGTTTGGTAAGTATTTAGAGCACAGCCTACTAGGAGTAGAAGAAATTTATTATATTTTTTAATAAATAGTTTTATTGGGACATAATCCAAATAAGATAGAATTCAATCATTCAGTCATATTAAGAAGGGTTGTACATGCATTATCACAATCAATTTTAGAACATGTGCTTCTTTCTTATGTTCCTTGTTATTAGCTCCCAGTTTCTTCCAATCTCTACTCTATACCCCCAGTGAACCATTATTCAAGTACTTTCTGTGTAGCTTCACCTATCCTAGACTTTATATACCGAAAACATACAAAAACAAAAACCCAAGAGTTTTTAATGCTAACAACAATAACTAAATAAAAAACAAAAAAGACAGCTGAAAACAAAATATTAAAAACTAGAACAACTTTAAAATGAGTCAAAGGGAGATCAAATAATAAGGTCTTAGATTTTACCTACTACATCTGCCATAATCCACCATCCAGTGCACTCTGTCTGAGAACTAGGGTATTCTCAGCCCTCATCTATGTTCAGACAGGATTCACCAGAGCTTTAATCAATGTGTATTCCCCTTAACGTTTTAAAAAAAATTAAACCAATAGGACTTTTAAATTGGTTGAAAGGGGACAAATCAGATGTTACATTTTTAACCTGGCTATATCTACTTTAATCATGTCTACTGTATTCTCTGTCTGATAACAAAGCTCTTCACATGCCTTGACTATGGTCAGAAGAAAATCACCCGAGGCTTGATCTATGTGTGAATCTTGGAAATGGATTTAAGGTTTCTACTCTCATCCATAGCCTTCTGCAAACTAGGTGCTCACAGTTTAACCTATGATACCTTTCCCTCCTTTAAGATCCTACAGATTGGTGTGCTTCTTCCATATGGACTTAGTTGGTGCCTCAGATGGTTGTTTGGTTAAAAGCAAGCCTTTAAGACCCCAGGTGCTATTCTTCTGGAGAGCCAGGCACCTTCTAGTTTCTTCACCTCATTTTCCTGTAGCACCTAGATCATCAGTGGCCTCTTCATAAGAGCATGTATCTAGCAAGGCCATGACCGAAGAACTGCTTGTTGATAGATTGGGGCTAGAATTATGTGTGAGCCCCCAGTCCATTCAATTAGCTACCATTTATATTTGTCCCTGGTTCACCTTATAGCAGTGGTTCTCAACCCGTGGGTTGCAACCCCTTTGGGGGGGGCAAGGGTGTCGAACGACCCTTTCACAGGGGTCACCTGATTGAATACAGTAGCAAAATTACAGTTCTGAAGTAGCAACGAAAATAATTTTATGGTTGGGGGGTCACCACAACATAAGGAACTGTATTAATGGGTTGTGGCATTAGGAAGGTTGAGAATCAATGCCTTAGAGACATCATTGTCATTTTACAGTAGGGAACATTATTCCTTATCTTCCTGGGCATAAGGTCATTGATTTGGCCAATGGGAAAGAATTGAAAACACAGTTAAGAAAATGACATATAAGTGTACAATGGTTATCAACCACAATACATGAATTATTGACTTTTAAAGACTAAATTCTTAAGCTAGGGGACACTACAGAAACTACCTGATGATAAGGTGAAACTTTCAATAATATTCATTGTTCAATGAACATGCCTTGGTAGTGACAAAATTAGTCCTACCAGAATAATATGTATTTTGAAAAAGCAAAAAGGGCATTGAAATCGTAAGTATGTGGTAGTCTGACAACCACCAGTTTCATACCCTTTGTATAGAAGTAGTTTGTTCCTTCTCACAAAAGAAATGCATCTGCGGTCTCTAAGACATGCATCTTTCCCTCCTCCCCTATTGACTAGAATTTCCTGCCGGGTTTGATTGTCACCCTTTAAAAATTTTTTTTTGAATTAATACAATTTATTAAAAATATAGATTAATGGCTCTGTGCTCAAATATCATTGTGGTTCTGTGCTGACTTTCACAAAACATAACTGCCAGAGACTCTTCACGACTACATACTGGACAGAAATAAAAAAGTGCACAGAGATGACTGCTTCTAAGATAAAACTATCTCAGACATTGGTGATTAATACTTGCTGGAGAATGAAGTTTGACATTATTTACAGTTATACCAACATTCATGGAGGCTGAGCATCGGAGGTATAATTATAGGTTCAATATGACCACAGAAATCTTTTCGTATTTCCCAATTAATTTTATATAGTCAGTTCATCACCACAGCAAACTTATTCTTTTTTTGCTTATTTATTATTTAAAAAAAACATTTTATTGGGGGCTCATACAGCTCTTATCACAATCCATCCAGCCATTGTGTCAAGCACATTTTTACATTTGTTGGCTATCATAATTTTCAAAACATTTTCTTTCCACTTGAGCCCTTGATGTTGGCTCTTCATATTTTCCCCTTTCTCTCCCATCCTCCCAATGAACCCTTGATAATTTATCAATTATTTTTTCACGTCTTACATTGACCGATGTCTCTCTTCACCCATTTTTCTGTTGTCTGTCTTTTGTAGCAGGGTCTATTGATTTGGGGTGACCTTAGCACAATTTAAAAAAAAAACATTTTATTGGGGGTTCGTAAAACTCTTATCACAATTCATCCATCCATCCATTGTCTCAAGCACATTTGTATACATTTTGCCATCATCCCTTTCAGAGCATTTTCTTTCTACTTGAGCCCTTGGTATCAGCTCCTAATTTCCCCCTCCCTCTTCTCCTTCCTTCCCTCATGAACCCTTTATAATTTACAAATTATTGTTATTTTTGCATGTCTTGCACTTTCCAATGTCTCCCCCCACCCCCTTGTCTGTTGTCCATCCCGCTGGGAGGGCATTATAGGTAGGTCATTGTGATCAGGCCGCTCCTTTGTCCCCCCATCTTCCCCTTACCCTCCTGCTATGGCCACTCTCGATATTGCTCCTGAGGAGTTTTTCTGTCCTATCTTCCCTGTGTTTCCAGCTCTTGTCTGTACCCATGTACATGCTCTGGTCTAGCCAGATTTGTAAGGTAGAATTAGGGCCATGATAGTGGGGGAGAGGAAGCATTAAAGTACAAGAGGAAAGCTGTATGTTTCATTGGTGCTACACTGCACCCTGACTGGCCTGTCTTCTCCCCATGACCCTTCCATAAGGGATTGACACAATTTTTTTATAGCAGCAACTAAATGGGCATCTCCTTCAACCCTGATTTTAACAAACTGATCCCAGCTGAAGGGAAGTCTCTTCTGTAAAAGTGGTTTGTATAACTCCCTATTCTCAACAGTGTGTTGAATTCCATGCCATTGGATTAATGACATTATAATACTATTAATTACCTTATGCCCCAAGGAGGGTGGTTAATAATATTCTTTGTCATAAAGTGACAATGAAATGTCTAAATGAACCAGAGATGTTTATAAACCATAGGTATATGGGGAGGAAAAAGTGATTTGTCAGATATGCATGTGAATGGGATGTTGTACACTTCATGGTTACATCTCGGATTTTCAGGAATGCATAGTATCATATTGTGTGTATGTACCAAAGTTTTGAATCTATTCTGCTGATGTGAATTTGGGTTGCTTCCAGCTCCTTGCTTTTATTAACTGTGTTGCAAGGTACATGGGAAAGAATACAT